GAAGAAACAGAAGAATTTTGCTTTTTTTATGGCATTGTGGTGGAGTCTGGATGCGAAAGTAAGAAAGTAATGTTTTGGAGGCAAAAAAAACAGCTACAACAAGAGTTAACATTGTCATGACCTACACTAGTTTGAGGGAGCTAAAGGAGGCTGCAAAATCTCAGACTGATAGTGACCTGGCTTTGTTGCTACCTGTCTTGTAAGAAATAACACTGTTTGTCCAACAGATCTTTGTACTTTTTGATTTATTTAGTATCAGTTGGCTCGAATTAGCATTAGCTCATTGTTAGCGCTAGCTACAGTAGGGTTGTTTATGATAGCTGTAAGTCCACTTTCAACCAGTAGGAGGCAGAAGCAGGAAACTTAATTTAGTGTTGCTTTAAGGGCCCACCCTGTAACCAAATAGGGTTTATGCCAAGCCCCCACAATGCCTGTGAAAAATTGAAGCAATCCCGGAAGTGAAATAAATTGCAGTTCCACCCTCATCCGCTGGGGTCTGGTGTCAGAAGCGAGCAAATCCTCATTGATGCCCATGTTAAAAATACCAATTTCACAGCAAAAATAAAAATGTTTACAGCCTGGTACCAAAACATGTTTTTTGTTTAAATGGTCTAGTTTACACTCATGACAACTCTGAGGGGGGTGAATTTTTTTCTCACTCTTCTGTTTAAGTGTATTAAAAGCCTAAAATTCTGTATAATTAATGAGCATCAGACCCACGTGACAGCAGAGCTTACTCCGGGGAAAGGCCTCACTCTGAGCCTCGGCCTCGCCTGAAAACTGTTCGGTCATTTTCAGTCTCTCAACTTAGACTATTAGTTGTAGCGTTAGTGCAGTTTTTTTTTTTTTTGGATATTATTTGTACAATTGTTGGACAAAATGACTTGCTGTGGCATTAATTGCACTAATAGAGCGTCTTCATTTTTTTCGGTAAGTAAAATTATATTTATGTATTTTAGGTCACTGCCGAGCTGAGCTTAGATTTTAACATGTACTGTTTAACCATGAAATTTAAAGGTAATAGGGTAAAACCCAGTGCATTTAACATAATGCTGCACTTTAAAAAATGGGTTGAAATATAACATGCTGGTGGAGCTGGGTTCCGACTATCGGCTTGTGGAGCTCTCGGGAGACCTCCGGTTCTCGCCTCCCCACAGCTCGGCGCATCTCTGTCTGCTGCGCGGGCTGCCGGCTTGTGGAGTTCTGAATGGAAACCGATGTTTTCCACCCGGTTCTCCGCACCCCGCAGCTTGGCACATCTCTGTCTGATTGCGGCTTCTGTCTGCTGCACGGGCTGCCGGCTTGTGGAGCTGTGGGATGGAAACCTTTCCACCCGGTTCTCCCCAGCGGCAACTCTGCGCATCTCAGATCGCAGCTGCGCTTGTCTGCTGTGCGGCTGCCGGCTTGTGGAGCTCTCGGGAGACCTCTGTGTTCCACCCGGTTTTACCCAGCGGTCAGCCCGGCGTATCTCTGACTCAGAAGCTCTAGTGTTGTGCACAGTTAACTCCTGTTGTAGCTAGGTTGCTACCTCAGTTAGCTTAGCTCCCACCTCCGCGTTAGCTTCAGGTTAGCTTGTAGCTAGTTCGACCGGGTGTCGTCAGTTGATCCCAGCCTTACAGCCCCACCCTCAGCTCCACCTCTCTTCCCTTTTGTGGAATTGTCTGGGCTTGACGGAACCTGTGACACGGTCAAAATGGCGGTGGTGGCCACCTCCCATTTTTCTTCAAAAATGAGTTATTGGAGCCTATGGAAACCCATTGTCCAATATTTATATGTCGATGGCTAAGAATGTCGCAATTGAGTCCTTGGGAAAGACACAGCAGCCTCGCTTCCGTCAGTGGAGCTTAAATTTGTGTCTGAAATAAATAAAGTACCTAATCTAAAAAAATATGTTTCAAACACCACAATGACTTTAAATTTTCACTTCATTAGAATTGTTGAGTCCAAAAACAGGCTAAAGAATAAAAAACTAAGTTCACTGAAGGTCCTTTAAGAACTCACAAGCTCCCACACATTTTTTGTTTGTTTTGTTTTGAAGCACATCATAAAGCACCAAAACCCCTTATCTGCCACTTTTAAGAAGACTGTGTTTTCTGTCTTTTCACAGAGATTGTTGCTTACTTCAGAGAGCTCAAGGACAGAGAAAAAAACATTGTTTTAAAGGAGATGGGTGTCCTGATAGAAGATAAATACATTTCTGAAAAGAAACCCTGGTGTCAAACAGCAAAAAGCTGATGTTCCTCATAAAAATGCAGAGAAGAGTAGCAGGAAATGAAAATGTGCAAGTCAAGCAGAAACAAAGAGGTGTTGTTCCATTGAGAGGTCAGTTCAATAGCACTTTGGCAATGAAACCAGAGGTATTCAATCTCACTCACAAAATATTTGAACATACTAAACAGTTATGCACTTTCCCTGTGTTTTCTAATATCCACGTGAACCTAAAAGCCACTTTTCACAATAAAAGCTTCAGAACTCGTTTCTTAGCCGAGACGAACATCGATTCCTCAGACAGAGACCAGTTTGGGTTCACTGGTCTATTAGAGCAGCAGCCCTCCGCGGGGGTAGAATATATTGAGCATGTTCAAACACAAGCCTTCGCTCTGATTTGATGCTGCTCTCACATCATCTGTCTCATTATCTTGAGACTGTCCTCTTTCTAATAAAAAGCTGCTCCTTCCTGTATGACCACGATCACATCAAAGCTCCTTCTTTATGCAGCCTTGAAAGGTCCGGGACCCAAAAGGGGAAAGGAAACAAACATAATCTTGTGACTAAACTAAAATCTCTTCTTTAATTAGTGAAATTTCATAGACAGACAAGGTGGACCTTCCTATGTCTTAGATTTCAGATTGGAATAAAAGAGCAGCATTGACTGACTCTTCCCTATGCTGCCATGGCAACCCTGACAGCTGTATAGTAGATTACAGCAGCTCCTCTCTGTTCCAGATCCTTAAGTAACAAAAAACTGTAGAGAATAATATGTGTAACCGTTATTTTAGAATAGCTCTTATTTTGAAAATATTTGTTTTCAGTCTTCTATACTGAAATTCTGATACTTGATGCAAGATACCCGTGTCGGGGGGGGGAAGGGAACAGAGGGCATGAATGCATGAAAAATAAGAATCACAAAGTTCATGCACCAAGTGGAAAATCGGATGGTGTGTCTGCATAAAAACCTACTGAGAAAACCGCTGACTGTTAGCATTCCTGCTTATTTTTACGCATTTTTCTGAGACAAACTCGAACCACAGCTGTTCTCAGAGACATCCGTGGTTCACTGGCGCATAAAAACATGGATGATGTCAGAAAACAATCTAAAATCAGTCGCTGGTTGTCTTTGTTCAAAGCTAAATTGCATTTGTAAAAGTCTCAGATGTTCTGTGAGCAGATCCTTTTGTGCATTTTGTCTGAAACTAAAGCAGGAAAAAAAACATTCATACATCGATTCAGAGACACAAACTCTTCAGCAAAGCGAAAGATCACACAGAAACGTGTAACCAGCATATTTTAGGGATGATTAAACTCTGATCACTCGTGGAGGTTTGGTAAAAACTGTTGTAGCGTGATGAAGGCTCTCTGATTTGTGCCAAAGGTCTCATTTGCCCAGCTGGGTCAAACAGTACTTTTTGAATCCACAGATTAACCCAAGGAGCCACGATGTCTGCTCAAGATCATAACATCATATCTGCTGTTATGTCCCAGAAGAAGGACACTGCAAGTCACGATGATAATAATTAGATTAATAATTAATAAACTCATTGATTTTATTACTGTTTAATATAATCATCATAACATGATCACTTTATTCAATATAAAGGTATTTTAATTACATGAAATGGATGATTATGCTTTGGGTATAATAATGATTAATTATAATGATTATAAAGATGTGTTCAGCAAAGAAGACCTTCACCCTATCCAGCTAACAGAGTTCAGATGAACAATAACTGCATCACGTGTTTTGACGCATGTTCGAGCTTTCTTCCGGAGAGAGTGGTAGGGGTTCTGAGAGCTATGGTAAAACTAACCATCACAGATTCACGTTCAGTTCTTGAACCAACACCAGGAGGAAAGGGAATGCCCGTCCCTAAGCCTCCACCTGCTGTTCGGTCACGCCGACCAGAATAGCTAAGAATAAACGGAGACTCTATCAGAGTCATTGATTTCTTAAGTTAAGTTAAAGGCGAGAACGTTCATGTGCCAAACGCTTCGTAAGCCGTGTACCCAGGACATCTCTGGACCAGACGATCGGACACTTGCGTCTCCTCTACCAGCCGAAATGTCATCTCGGATGAAACCCATCCTCCTGATGTCCGGATCCGAAAGGGGGTCCCGTTTGGGTGAGGTAGAACACGACAGATGACGTTTGATGCTGTTTCTCTCAAAATAACTCAGTTATCCGCAAAACATAATTTTCACCCAGAACACATTCATTCTCTCTGAAAGAAACCTTCTGAGAACTTCATTCACGCATCCAAACTCACCATTCTCAAATTAGTTTTCCATCCAACACAGGTTTGTTTTAAAACAGGTTAAATATCGAAGCTGTTAAGGATTGTCATTAAAATTGCCATCCATGAATTGTCATTGTATAATTGTCGTTTCAAATCTCTCGTTTAAAAATTGTTAGTAATAAATGTCTTCATTTTTAAACTTGCCTCATTATTGAAACAAAACACAGAAAAGGGTTGCATTTCCATTTATCGAATGAAAAGAATCTTACTGAGTCTTCTGTTTAATAAATAAACTTTTGCTATTAATTTAAGTATCTTAAATTAAGTATTAATCCGTAGATTAATCATAGACCAAGCTCGTTGGTGTATGATCTTCTATCGCTTATATTAATATTTTATATTGATATATGATAGAAGCTTCATATATTAACTAGTTTGTATCATCCTAGTTTTAGCATTGAATAGCAGTGTTAGAGCTGTGTGTGCGAGGTTTTTACCCCATTACACTGTGCTTTGAAACGAGCTTGAAAAAGTGCAAAAAAATGATGAAACAAAAAAATCAAACCAAGTTTATTTTCACAATCACATTAAACCAACAGAAAAAGAAGAAATTATTCAAATACTAAATAGATATGACTATCTTTTCAGCATGCACATGACAAGAAATTCGTTTTTTTTTTTGGGTGGGGTGGGGGGGTTATGCATATTTACACATAAAACAGTTGAAAACAAGCGCTTCAAAAACTAAAGCTGGTGTGAAATAAAACCCCATTCCCCTGTGGTCTGTGGTTAAAGTAAAGAGGTGATGCTGGAGTTTGTAGATCTGCTACTGAGTCTTTGGTCTCCAGCAAATCAAACTGTGATGCACTGGGAGGGAAGAGCTGAACTCAGTAGGTCTTCTTCCAGGATCGGAGGTACATGTGAAACGGAAGGAGTGGATTTCTTTTCTGCACGCTTTTATGGAAAACGTCAAAATCAGCTTTCCTAATTCTCTGGAGATAATCTTCTAACACCACCTGCAACACACAACAAACAGGTGGAGAAGTTGGTTAAAACAGCATCTGCTTGGACTGAGTGGGATTCATCCGGGACATGTCAACACAAGAAGACAGGTGTGATTTTGCATGACCTCATATAGAAAAGAAATACAGAGAGGAGGAGACTGCTCCACTGAAGATGTTAAGAATTAAAATGAAAAGTTAACTTCCCCTGGTAGTCAACTCCACCAGTTATACCACCATGGCTTCTAAAGCTTCTCAGCTTTGAACGTTTAACACAGACACACACACTGGTCTTTGGTAGTTTATACGTCTCCATCAGCAACTTTGTGCTCAGACGCTTGCATATTGATGGAGACGTTTTCCCTTTCTACTTCTCCGTTGGTGTCAGTGTTGTAAAGCAATTCTCCACCAGAACAGCAGAGGGCGTAGCGGTTTTCTGGGGTACCCTGCCATCACGTCTCTAGTGTGTTTATGTATTTCAGAGACGCTTTAATACGGACACATTTGTCCTCCACCTCTTCACGTTGCCTCTCATTTCCTGACATGAATAAAAAGTTTGCTGCATATCTTTGTACTCCTTCAGTCACGGGTGTCTTAACGGTCTTATCATTGGACCTTTTCTGTGAGAAGTCCTTCAACATGTTCCATGTCTGTCACTAGATATGTTTAATTCTCATTTTATTTTTTGAAGGGGAATGGCGATGTTGTTGACAGAGTTAAAGGAAGCGGGATTCCTAACCAATCACAGGCTTTCGGTCTCCTTTGCTTTTGACAAATATTTTAAAAAGTGAAGTCTACTTCGACTGTCCTTGTGAGCCCGTTGGAGCCTGTTGGAGAGCCCTTGCAATGATAATGCTGCTGCATGTCTCCGTACTACCAAGTTAAAATTAAAGTCCAACAAGTTGTCACACACACTGGTGTGTGTGTGTGTGTGTGTGTGTGTGTGTGTGTGTGTGTGTGTGTGTGTGTGTGTGTGTGTGTGTGTGTGTGTGTGTGTGTGTGTGTGATTAGATCTTCGCATTTGACTCATCCCTAGGGGGAGCGGTTAGCTGCAGACACAGCCGCGCTTGGGAACCATTTGGTGGTTTAAGCCCCCAATCCAACCCCTTAATGATGAGTGTTAAGTGAGGAGGCGTTGGGTCCCATTTTTTCAAAGTCCGGTATGACCGGACCGGGATTTGAACCCCAATGTCCCAGAGTGGACACTCATTCCACTAGACCACTGACAAAGATGGAATGGTACAAACCAAATCAGCCCCTATCGCTCCCTGTGGCCAGAATATTTCACTTGCTATTAAAGACTGGTGTACCGTTCTGTTGGGAAACAAATGGAGCTGACATACCTGGCGCTGCCGTCTGGTTCCAGCACATTTCCTGCATATTTTAGATCACGAGCACAGCTGATTTGTTTAATTTAGCAATTAATCCCTCCTGTAGACACTGATGAAGGCTGGGAGACGTTTCAGCTACTAGATCAATATGTTATTAAGACAAACGCAGAGCGAGGAGGTAGGTTTTGCTTTTGGTTCTACAAATGGACACTAGGTGGTGATAAAAGCAAGCCAAAACCGCCTAGTTCCCCTTTAATATCAAATCAAATTCATGAGAATAAAAGCAGACCAGTGAGTTAAGAATTTTGTAAGGTAAAGATGTAAAGATATAGATAAAACTACTTCTGCTGCATCTTAAACCCCCAAAATACACCAGCCTGCCAAGATAGATTTCAGATTAAGTTTACAAAAGGACTTCCATCAGTGCAATGCTACTTAACCCTCCCACTGTCCTAATGGGTGTGACCCCGCAAGGAAAGTTGACCATTAAGCAGGGTTGATGGTTTATCCCTTGGGTCCATGTGGCAGGGGTGATGTGTGAGCACCATCTCACCCCTGCCACATGGACCTCAAGGGATAAACCATCAATCCTGCTCAACGGTCAACTTTCCTCGCGGGGTCACCCATCAAGACAGTGGGAGGGTTAAAGGTGCATTATGTAAGGATGAAGTAAAAACGTCATCCTGTGATAAAATTTGGTTACTGCAACCACTTTACACAACTCTGGAGCTTTTTGCCGGCTGTCGTCAAATTACAATTGTCGGCGCTGCAGCATTAGCTTGCAGGACACACGGCAACCCCACACTCACTGATGCTAAACAGTAGTTACGTCCCTTCTTCCTTTGTTTTGAAAGGAGCAAAACTGCAGCCAGCTGGATATGAACTATGTTTCAGAATAACCTTCCTTCTAAAATGACTGAAACATTACGTATTTGGGATTTTCTCACTGTAAAATCTGCACTTTATTCTTACTCACATAGGGCCTTTAACATTAACACATAGGGCCAAGAAGCTGCAAAGTGTATAAACATTTCATTGAGTGGATTTTTTTCCCAGCATCTTCTTGGACACTTCAATTTATTTTATTTGATTTTAAATAACTTGCTTTCAATCACTGGAACCAAAAAATGTAGGATTAATAATCTCCTTATGATACCTTTAATTAAGAGTCATCTCTAGTTAATCTCAACAATCTATCTGGCTGAAGCTCATAGATGAACAGCGGTGATCAATGCAAATCTCCTGCATCACCCAATTCACAGTATTAATTTCACCAAGTGAGCAGTAAATAAATGTTGCACATAGCATTTTTCTCCATCTCCTGCAAAGTTTCTCTGATTAGGAGGGTGCTTTTCTGTTTTCCATTCATGTTTGTCAGTAGAAAAAAAAAACTAGTGGTAAATCAGAGACAGTAAGTGTGTTTTTTCAAATGCTTTGCAGCAAGTCTGCAGGCTTTTCTGCTTTGACACAAACATCAAAATTCCAGCTAAATAAAGACAGTGAACTATTACCACAACACGTGCATCCCTACAGCAGAGGCTGGCGTTTGGTTCACGTTTAAAATATTTAGCAAACTGACAGTTTGTAAGAAAATGTGTAACCAAAAAGCATCGGACAGAACCTTTATCCTGCAGCTCTGGTGTGTAACCACATCTCTAAAGGCATTACTAGTCAGGCATAAATCAGCCTTCATGTGATGAGAACGAAAAGGGTGAGTTGGTGTGACTCATGTCCCTCAGGACTCACCAGTACGGCTCGGTCTTTTTTTTAAAAAATTTTCTTTGTCCAAACCTGCAATCTATGTGAATAACATTTTCTGCAGGGTGAAAATACGTCTGCTCTCCCACGGATGCGTGCTACTGTGGTGCATTGTGAAGGTCCGCTGCATCGTGGTAAAAATCATTTAAATTCCATAATCAGGAAGGTGTCATGATTGCAGGAGGACCAAGGTGCTTTACAGTCTTATCAGTGCAGGATCATGATTGTGGACTCTAAAACATATGAAGTCATGCAGCAGACATATTCTGGATTACACTTATTTTTCTATACTCTATATACTCCAGGTATAGGAATTAGATATTCTGATTCAACGCCATTTTTACATTTCAGGTTAGGTCTAATGTTAAGGTTTAAGACCCAGCATTCCCTGAGGAATTTTAGTCAAGTATTGTGAAAAATTTCCTGCACAACCTCAGTTCTAGATGCATGTGTAGATGTATTCTAGAATTTTAATTAAAATTGTCCAGATGTTTTGCTAAAACAGACAATTTACAACACACCTGTAACTAAAAAAAGATAATTTTAGTCCGTTTACATTCTGTTGTTTTAAATAGGGCTGGACAATTCAATAACGATATTGTCACGGCTGCCAGCCTGGAGAGTGAAAAGCAGGAGCCAGGATCAGCCAGCCCGTTTGTTTTAAAGGTTAACTTGGTTTGGTACAATTTTATTGACTTCGGTTTTCAACACCTTCAGTTCGGTAAAGCTTTTAACATAAGTTTTTACCAGGTGTTTTAGTCAGTAGATTGTTTTCAGACTTTTATCAGCTTCAGGTTTTTAAGAACACCAGGTGTTTTTATAGCTGATAATTTATGTGATGTTAACCTTTTAGAGAGTTCTGTTTGTTTTTGCATTATCTTTATAATGCGCACCATCTGTTTGCCCGTTTTTAGAACTGCCCGTTTTTAGAACCTTTTATTACAAATAAAACCATTTTAAACTCCACCGTCATCTTTCTTATGTTACCCCCTCCTTCGCATTTTAACATCTCCTGTCGGGGACGTAACAGATATATATCGATCGATAGGCATGTGGTTACATAAGAAAAAAATGGATCAATAAAAACTTTTTCTTTCTCATCATTGCCCATCAAGTAGCTTCATACTAGAGTCATTATTACAAACCTAATCAGACAGCAATGTGACTTAAACAAGACGTTGCAGCAAGGAGAGGTGGAACAAAAGGTCCCAGAAAGGTTACAGCAGTTCAACAGTGTTGCAATATTTCCATTTCTACAAGTCTGACAAAAAACAAACAATAGCTGGCGATAAAAACCAAGTCTGGTAATGCAACCAACTTGTTTTTATCATAAAGCAATGACATAGAATGGCCAGGGCTGCACTTAAAATGTATTTTCTATACTTTCTATAAAATTTGCAATAATTATTGATATCGATCGATAAGAATTTTTTATTGTCCAGTCCTAGTTTTAACGTTGCATTGAGCTACTTTCATGATTTTCATCCATGTGTGTGACACGTCACGTGATCAGGAAGCAGAAAATCCATGAATCTGAGTCATTTTGGGACACCACTATGAGAAAAGTGAGGCGCAAAACGGAAAAGCTTCTGCAGCTCACACTTCGACAGCGGATTGTGAAAGAACGGGAAAAGCCAGAAACAAGCAGATTCTTCCTGATGTGAGAAGTGCGTCTATTCTTTCTTTTGGTAGTTTTGGTGTTTACATGGTCATATAGCACAATATTCTGTGACTCTTCAAAAACAGTAAAAATGCTCAAAAACGCCGTCAGTCAGGGGCTTTTGTTCAGAAAACGTCAACAGTTATAATTGTTCTATGTTTGATGCAAAACATGTTTATGAAGTTCTTTGCATAAAACCCCTCTCACGTAAAGTGATTTCAGCTGTTTCATTCTTGATCGTTTTAATATCTTCCAGAATGAGTGATTCTGGCACTTTAAGAAAACAAGCTGTTTTTGTAACGCCCACCTCTCCTGTGTTTGGCTGCTATAAGCTGAGAGGCTCCCATTTCCAGCAAGGGCGTTGAGTCAAGCCGCTGCTACTCCAACAGAAGCTCTCTTTTGTATGTGAGGTAGTTTTATTTTAATTTCCCTCATTGTGACATCACAAACAGTGACTTTTTGAAACAGCTTGTTTTAGGCACATAATTCCTAAAACCAAACATTGACAGAAAATGGATGGATGTATTTTTTTTACATTTGGAGTGTTTATAACGGCAGTAGAGACCCACGTGGCAGCACAAAAAGATGCAAAAGGTAGGTTTTGCATAATATGTCCCCTGTAAGATGAGAGGAAACTGCTACTGGTTGTAAAAGGGACTTACTGTGAGAAGGAAGGCCGATGAGGCAGCAGCTGGAACATTGTGACTAAATGACCGTGCCTGAAGGAGAGAAAGCCAAAATTAAACCAAATCTTCATTTTGTTCCATGTTGCAATTTTGTGACAAAGAAAAATTATTTAAACAAATAACAAATGGTTTTAAAAACAAACTTTTTAAAACCATTTTTTTGTTTTTGACAAATTCTTATCCGTGTTTGACCCGACCATTTCCTGGGAAATTATTTCATTTATTCTATTTATTATTTTTTTTGTCAAGCTGCTAAAGCTAACCTTTGCATACTTCTAGAATAATAACAGAAACTAAAGGTTCTGTCAAAATGGTTAATAGCACATACTTTTGTTCCACAAATTCTACAGACAGCTGAGTTTCACAGTAATAAAAAAAGTACACTCTTGCATCAACAAGGTGATATTTAAGGAGCCATTAGCTTAAAATGTGTCATATCTTGGCAAGGTGCACAGCAAGCCGTTTTACACTTAAATGCACCCATTTAATATTTACCAAAGCTTCATCAAAACTAAATAAAAAAATACTAATAATGGAAACGCAAAAAAGGAAATCAGTGAGAAAAGAGTGAGTAATGCCATATTACACAGGAACTGTGCCAAAAATAAGTGCATAAAAAAACAAATAAATCCAACACAAATACAGAATCAAAATTTACCAAGAAATTTGTTAATAAGTACAAATCAGGCCAAAACAAAGGGGCAACAGTGCTTTTTTTTTAACAACCATGTGTAAAACACGGAGGAGCAACTGTAATGGTTTGGGGCACTATTTCAACAGTGATGTTGTGAAACTTGTCTAAATTAATAAAAGTATATGCTAGAGATGTTTTACAGTTTAGTCTTTTAAATGGAACAAGGTAGATTTCTGGTGTGATTCGTATCTATGATATATTAAATATGTATAATATATTAATAATAGTATTAAATATATATAATAGTATAAGAATGATCCAAGATAGATTATCAATGCAATAAAAAATATTTTAAAAAGTTTACATTATGGATTTGCCTCCTGCAGAAAGTTAACATAGCTGAAGATATGAGAGATTATCTTAACAGCAGTGTTAATTTCGACAATAAATTTTACTTTAGTTTTAGCCTTTTGACTGAAATTGTATTTTTATTTATACTTGCATGTTTCCAGTCATAGCTGCAGCATTTCTACTTGCAGCGAATTACAAAAAAATACTTTCACACTGAATTTTCTTTGCGAGAAACTTTGCTTTTTTTGTGAGGGTGAAATTTGTCACAGCAGAAACAGATTAAGTTTGGAATGACCTTGTTTCATTAAGTGTTCTCTAAACAGCATCAGCTGACACAGCAGCAGGACTCTGCAGGATGCAGGTCAATATACTGGAGCGTTGTAAAGTGCATTGTGCTTGTTCTGTTGTGATGAGTGTAAAAGTCTCTAGTGTAAAGTCTGCAGGATATTTTATTAATACAGACAGGAATAAAAATTAAAATCTTATCATCTGCTCCATATAGGGTGCAGAAATGAGGCTGGTTCCCATTAGCTAATGAATTAGTAAAGTGTTGCTGTTTTTGCATACATGCTTATTCTGTATACTTTGATCTTAGTTTTAAATATATTTAAGCAAAACTAGAGATTAACAACAGTTTGCAATTATTAAGTTTTCAATTTTCTTGTTTTTATCGAGAAAAAAAGCTGATTGATTGCAAGAATGGTAAATAAAAATACATAAAATTCCCCTACTGTGACTGTTTTTGTGTATAACACTAATTTTGTAATGGTTGTTTGTTAAAAACCAAATTATAGTGCTAGAGCTTAAAAAGCTGTCCTTTATAGATCCTTCTTTTCTAATGTTGATGTAATTACACCTTAAAGGAGTATGTAAGAACTCTACAGTGTTCTACAAACAAAAGAGGCACGTTGTCACTGATTATACTCTGTGAGTTTGTGAGGTTACCGTGTCTCTGGCGAGCTAACGCTGCAGCAAAGGCATTTGTAACCCCTTCTTTCCACCGGAGCAGTCAGCAGCACGTTACTGCAGCAGCACGTCTTGCTCGCGTCGGCTGCTGCTTGGCCCTTCCCACGAGACGCGAAGCAGCAGGGGAGCAGCTGTCACCGACCAAGCACGAAGTCACACGAGTGACTTCGTCAGTAAACACAACAACAAGGAGAAAACTACAACATGGCTCCAAACGGTTTGTGTTTTATGTTCTGTCTGTTTTATAATCGCCAATACAGACCTGAAAAACAAAGGAGACCGCTAGGTAGATGATAACTTCTCACGGGGCAGCACAGTTAGTAACTTTTTTTTAAAGTAAAGAAACCAGAAGGCAGTACGTTTCTTTATTCTGAAAATCTCGGGAGCTTCGCACCATTTCCGCGTCCGATTTCCTGTCTTTCCTTCCCCAAAAATGTCGAACTTGACCCGTTTGAGGCGTCGCGCGTAGAAAATAGAACCGGCGCGTAAGGGCTGCGACATGCTGCTGCTGAGACGCGGCCGACTCGCGCTGCTGACGGCTCCGGTGGAAAAGGTTCTGTTGACCACAGCGGTTCCTATCAGCAGCTATGACGTGCTGCTGCAGTAACATTCTGCTGATTCAACACTGCCCAGGGGAAAGCTCCAGAGTTGTTTAAAGACAGCAAACAGGAGCGACCCAGAAGTTATTTCTTTTCAGGTTGGTTGGACAGACTAGTGGGTCTCGAAAGGAGACTGGCTGGTAAGACACACTCGGGGCAAAGTTCAGGTAAAACAGGAAACGATAACTGAATGGGGGGCCGAAGTCAGGCACTTCCGTATATACCGTATTTTCCGGACTATAAGCCGCTACTTTTTCCCCAAGCTTTGAACCATGCGGCTTATAATGAGGTGCGGCTTTACTGAAGATTTTCCTTCACCTGTCAGGGGGCGCTTTTAGCAGAAAGTGAAACAGGTGGAAGTCAAAAGTGGAAATCGAAGAAAGTGCTCATTTTACCGTAATTTCCGGACTTTATGGGGCACCTCAATATAAGCCGCATCGGACTAAAAGCCGCAGATATCTACTGAATTGAAAACGCCGTGTTGCTGTCATCATCCCGGGGTGAAGCGGTGAAAACACGCTGAGCCGTTTTACTGTGAAAAAAATCCTCCGGGGCACTTTCCGTAGCACTCCTTTCCAGCATCCATCCTTTTAAAGCCATGCACCTCATTATAAGCCGCGTTCAAAGCGTGGGAAAAAGTAGTAGCTTAAAGTTCGGAAAATACTGTAATTTAGCACATGCAAGCAGCCGGCACAACAAAGAAGTTTTTTCAAATCCATACCCCCATCATGGTAACTACACGCATGATGTTCATATGATGCCGCATTTAAGTTGAAGGCCATCGATCTGGCAGTAAAGGAGGGAAACAGTGCTGCCGCACATAAGCTTGGCATGAATGAATCCATGGTTCGGCGCTGGACACGACAGCGGGAAGAACTCATTCAAGCCAGCTTCTCCCCGGGATGATGACAGCAACACAGACAGCGACACTGACATCGCCACAGAAAAGGTATGTGACGAAGCTCTTCTGAGGCTGTTCAACTCCGACACTGAAGAAGATGACTTCAGTGGTTTCAGTGCGCAGGAGGAGGATGAATAAACTAATCAATAACTTTTCAGTTTTGTTTGATACTGATCAGTTCAGTTACGTTCAGTTAAACTATGTTTTCAATTCAGTAGATATCTGCGGCTTTTAGCCCAGTGCGGCTTATAAAAGTACAGTTCCATGTGTTCTTAAAAACTTAGTAGGTGCGGCTTATATTGAGGTGCACTCTATAGTCCGGAAATTACGGTATGTAGGTTGGATTAGGTGACGTGAGCAGGAAAGTCTGCTGTGGTGCATGCTGGGCAGTGGAGTTCAGGAGAACATCAGGTGTGACGTGGTGCCCGTGGAGTCGGGTCATGACATGTGGCAAATGCTCTCTACCATAAAACACCCAAGATTGCTAACACCAGCTTGTCATCTAGAACCTTCTGGGGCTGATCCATAACTGGCAACAGTAATGAACTGATGGAACGGCAGCGAGAAAGGGATTTTATTGCTTAGGAAAATGGCTGCAGTTACCTAAATTGACCACAGGATGTCATTCTTACATTTTGCACCTTTAAGAAATTACTCAAAATAAAGACAGATCCTCTCAGTTGCATATTTGGTCTTTGGAGATTTTAAGATTTCTTTTGTTTGTGTTTTCCAAGTTGTCCTTGAAAATGGCTGCCGTATGAAATGAAGGGTCACTACTCTCTAGCAAAAATCAATTAAAATGGAAGAAACATGTAAAAATATTCCCAAGAGCACTGGTGAATGGTGTAATTCTCATAACTGAAATCACTTTATAAAGTATTTGTCCTCTTTAAGAGGACAAATACTTTATAAAGTGATTTGTCCTCTTTAAGAGGACAGTTCTCCAGTCAGTTAATCCTGCAGTAGTTTAACCAAATGAACCAGACATCTCATTAAGAGCTCAGGAAACGATGACGAGTCACTAAACTAGTTTAATGCCTGTAATTCTAGATAATTAGTGTAGTTCACCACAGGGAAAGAAACATAAAATAGTAAAAACACTTAAATGCATGTTGGACAAGAAAACCTTACTTTATATTCTACTGTCCTAGTTATCCCGTCTAATCAGACCTGATTTCGCTTCTGGCAACATTCCTAACTGGTGAACAGGGACCAAACAGAATATAAACACTGATGAGGGTTTGAGCAGCTGCTTAATGAAAAAGCCGACAAAGAAGCAATGATGCACGTAAATAGAGACTTAAAACTAATCTCCAAGCAAATTAGCTGCTAACTCCCAGGAGATACATTAGTGAGTTACTGGTAACACGTAAGACATTTGCGAGACGCTTTTAATTACCCAGTGGTGCAGGTGCAGGTCGTGCATCACAGCATGCCAAAGTTTCAACCATCAGTGACGCTCATTTACATTTAACAAATAGAAAACCTTTCTGTTCCTGCTGTTTGAGTGGCTTAAAAGGGATTCAAGGGTCTAAAAAAAACCAAACTGCTTCTGATGGGGATGTTACTGCACTAATTTTTTGAATGGAGTGATGATTTTAGCTGTGGAAAGGCGTCACAGACCACATGCTGAATGAGTGCTGTGACATTATGAATCTGGCGTTTGGTCCAAATCTACTCCTGCACTAGCCAGTCTTTTTGACTTATTCATTCATATTTGACCGACAATTTTCTTTGACCTAGAAAATTACAAAAAGGTAATTTAACTATCTGAGACCAGGAGCTTGAGTCGGAAAAGGGTAGAATGTCTTCTCTAGGTCGGGGACGAGGTCCTGCCTCAAATGGAGGAATTTAAGTATCTCAGGTTCTTGTTCGCAGGTGAGGGAAAGATGGAGCGTGAGATCGACGGGCTGATTGGTGCTGCGTCTGCAGTGATGAGGGCATTGTACCAGTCTGTCGTGGTGAAGAGGGAGCCGATCCAGAAGGCGAAGCTCTCGATTTACCGATCGATCTACGTTCCAACCCTCACCTATTGGGTAGTGACCAAAAGAATAAAAAGCTTTTGTATACTTATTTTGTGTTTGTCTTCGCTATCCATTTTCTTCTTTTCCTACACAGTTTAGTAAAAAAAAAAAGTTTTTTACCTGACATGTTTCAGCTAGCTGAAACAGAAAGAAAGCTAAAGAATCAGTGCTCTGTGCATCCGGGAGGGGCTCGGAGTAGAATCGCTGCTCTTTCACATCGAGAGGAGACAGTTGAGGTGGCTGGTAGCCTGGTCAGCCATGCCAATGCCTCCATATGAGAAGCAAAGGGCCTGGTAAGGCTCCCATTCTAATAACCCCACCCCCTGAGAGTTCGAACCATGCTACTCAGCGCTGAGCAGCATACGTCACACACCGGGACGCTCAAATTCTCAAAAAAAAAAACAACAAAGACGGCGTCTGAAGCGGGGTTCGCTGTGGCTCTTTTCTTTGTTCTAAACAACTTGGACGTGTCTTTAAAACCACAACTAGAAGAAGCGCTAAAAGCCTTTCTTCTAAATAAAGATGTTTGCGCCGTCGCCAGACGCCATCTTTGACTACGGCTAAAAAACTACAGCGTTGCACGATACGGTCGTCATGTCCGCCTTTTTTCTGGTTATTTTTGAGCTGGCTAATCCCACTGCATAGATGAATGGATGGATGAATAGATTGACCATATATAATGATATATATCAACATCTCTGTCACTGATGAATTATTTTACGTTTGGCTGCGTTTTAGTTTCCAGCTGCTTCTGAAATCAGAACCATTTTAACCTGGACTGTAATCCACGCCTTGTTCTGTCTTCTGCCTTTCAGAATAATGCTCTAATCTCCCTGCACTTCCTTATTAATAAACTATTCCACCAACCATTCTGTATCCTCCGGCATTCATAGCAACGACTGTGTGGCTGACCCTCTGGGTCATCCTTTTAGCGTCTCTTGGCTCATAAACATGAATAAATCAGCACCTTTGTTCAGTTGACCCTAATAATGCGTTGAAGCCTGAGTGGGTCCATGACACAGGAGAGGAAACCTCAAAAAGCTAATGATGCCTCTGGGAATTAGGAGTCCTGCTGAACCACCTCCAGCTGAAGGATCTCAGCTTAAAATGCTTCTTATTATCAAACCTAATCTTTTCACTAATAGGGACACTGAAAACAGTTTGCCACAAACAGCCAATTAATATTTTTAAAGTCTACTCAGACTCAAGAATGATCAAACTGCTCTCTATTTTCTTCTGTGGTTTACATGGTTAACTAGCTCAGTTTGATGAGCAGAATCCCACATCCTCTTTATAAATCACTTTCCCACAAACCCAATCAGCCACATTTCTCAAGCCTTATCTCACAAACACTTGCATGAAAATTTTTATTCTCGAAAGCGTGCATTGGACTCGCTGTGCTTTGGACCAAAGAATCGAGTGAATAATTTCACGTCTGCGTTTCGCCTCAGCCGGGTTCTGTCGGGTTGCAACAGCTTCATGTGGGAGCCTGTGGTTTAGAAGTCACGTGAACAGAATCGCATTCACACGTGCCGATTTACCACCTCTTTAATGGTGATGGGCGAGTGCATACGTACATGCTGCAGGTGGACATGAGCCTGACTGGCGATGTCGTACACAACATCTCGGACCTTCTGCTCCCGGCTGCCACGGATAAAGTCTTCCTGCGACACTCCGTGCTGAAAACAAATAAAAACAAAGCCCACAGAGATGCTTGTGTTTTGAGGTTACAGATGACGTGTCATTTTAGTGATAAACACATCGCTGCAGTTCAGCTGTGACCAATTTAGCTCCAGGGATGCAACCACCTCTAATCTGTGGGAAAGGAAAGTAAAGCAGCTTGAGGTTGGAACACCAGGAATGAATTCTGCCACAGGAGTGACAGGCTAACAGCTAGTATGAACAAAGGCCACCTCTAAGTGGACTGTTGATATCTTAAAGGTCTTGTTCATTAATAAACAAACAAACAAAAACAAAAAAAAAACGTGATACTTGTTTTTATGTTAAAATAAAATTGGGTCACTCTGAGCAGCAGTCAGAAAAAGGTGTCACAGAGAAAAGTAGCTCCGCCCATCTTGGCTTGTGACTGCGGAAGGCTATATGGATTTGGTAGTCAGGAGTGCGTAGCCCGTCTGTTCTAGTAGAAGCTAACCATTAGCATTAGCAACTCCACAACATGGTAGAACTCCTCCAGGCTTGTGTTATTTGTGGGGATAAAACATCAGCGATGCTAAGAAAACAGTGTCAGTGGTAGCATTGCATTGCTGTTAGCCAACCAGAGGCGATATGTCCAAATATCAGGAAGTAAGACTCCAAATCTTGCTGTCTGAAGCTACTTTCTTCTCTGGCTGATTCCCATAGGGAGCCTAAGTCTCCTCCCTTTTCGCTTGGCTCATGGGTCCCCGGAAGAACAAAAAAATGGATGCTAGTCAAAGGGGCTAAAAATGCTATTTTCTAATCCGCTTTGCCATAGACCCTGGATCGCTAGCGTAGCTGCTACTTACCAAATGGCCAGATTTATGGTGTTTTTTTCCTCCTGAAGGAAGGATTTTAAGCTTGCTGAACTTACAGCCATTTTGCCTCTGTTTTTCTCAGTGTCTGGTTTGATGATGTCACTTTCATGATGTTTATTTGTAGTCCTGGACTTATTTTCGCACAACAAGACCTAAAATACCCCCCCCCCCCCCCATTCAAAAATAAGCGCGTTCTTGGTATCAAAATTCGTCTTTAAAATTCACAGGGTTTTTTCTTTGTTCAAATTTGCATGGTGGCTGCCTCCAGCTATTTTTGTATCGTCCCAGCCTGATTTCACCCTGCCCCCTGCTATATGGATGTTATTTTAACTGCGGTTGCAGCGTTGCACCACTGTAGGGGCGCTGCATCAGCAACGGTGCACCGAAAAGCACTAAAACTGCTGCGGAAAAAGATCAAAAACCACTTTTCTCACTAGCTGGTACATATCTATGGTTGGTCCTATTGTAAGGTGACCATACGTCCTCTTTGCCGGACATGTCCACTTTTCACTCTCTGTCTGGTTTATCATCCAGGAGCAGGGATCCAGTTATGGGGGGCTAGATATCTTTCAGGGAAAGATCCAGTTTCTGCCTATATTACAATATTTATGGACTCTCAGCGTAGCGCGATTCTGTTGAGCGGAGAGGACGCAGAGCGCTGATCGTTGGTGCGCCCGCTGCGTCCGAAGCACGATTCATTCTCAAGGTGGTGCAACAAAACATTATTATTAACACATGATCGTTCATACTTGTTTATATCCTCTGGTACTCTGTCTTTTAATCGTTCCTGACGCGCTCCGCTCATCGTGTGCTGTGGTGATTTCACCTCACTGACGCAGCATCGAAACACGCTCTCCGCTTTGCGGTCAGGAGATCCCTTTGATCTGCTCAAAAGTAACTAATGAGGTAAAAAAGTAAGAATCCAGGCAGCAGTTTTTCTGGAGAGTTTAGAGGAGATGCAGGAAGATGAGAGACAGACAGAACAGGAAAATAGTTCAATAAAAACAAGAAAACAAAGCTTGAAAGCCAAATGTAGGTAGATTTATCTCCACTACACGTTTTTACCTGTATAAAACAACAAGCTATACACATCTAACATTTATACATTTCATACAATTCAGATCACCTTCAAAACTCAGTCACACACCCAGGGCCGTTTCAAGGCATTTTGGGGGGCCAAGGCAAAATGGAACACCCCCTAACCCTAACCCGTACATAATACACGTGCCACCATTACATTGTTAGCAGCAGAAATTAAATGTTATTACCATTTCCAACACAAATGCATGTTAATGAAATGCATTATATTTTACTGGATATATTTATGTGTAATTTTGACTAAGATGAGTGTTATTAATACAAACCTAAAATGTTACTGAAATGTAGGTTAAATATTTTAAAATATTTTTAACTATAAATATCAAATGAAGAAAAGAGAACTAAACACCAATCTAGTGCATATTATTGAGCTTTTTATAATATTTTGCCTTTAAAAAGTGAGGCAGTTGAATGCACAGAGTATGCATGTGCTGGCGCATGGTCAGGATGGTACCACCTCTGCCTCAATTTGAGCCAGGAAAAACCCTGAACATCATATGTGAAATCCATGGCACATAAAAAGCAGAATTAGAAAAAAGCGTTTTTAGCCCCATTGACTAGCATTCATTTTTTCGTTCTTCCAGGGACCCGTGATGCGGAAGTAGATGGGCGTGACTTAGGCTCCCTATGTCCTCCAACAGGCACAACAAAAGTTTTTACCCCAGAAAAAAAACTTACAAGGCATTCATTGCTACTAGAGTCAACCGCAAATGTATTGATTAAACAAGTCTTCCACACCTTTAAAGAATCATTTAGCAGCAGATGTATGTTAGGAAAATGGAAAGGGCTGCTGTTAAAGGGGAACACGTGCATTTAGCATCCCCTAGTGCTCATATGTAGAACCAAAAGCAAAATCTCCTCGCCGTGTGTTCTTCTTTTAACACTTTCATCTAACAGCTGAAATGTCTCCCCAGCCTTCCTTAGTGTCTACATGAGGGATTTGTCACTAAATTAAACAAATCAGCTGCGTTTGTGATCCAAAACATGTAGGAAACGTGCTGGAACCAGACTGCAGCGCCAGATAGGTCAGCTCATTTTTTTCTCGGTCCCAACCGTATATTTATGTCGGCGGTCCCAAAACAGCGGCCACCAGTCTGAAGTTGCGAGTGGAATATTCTGGCCACAGGGGGTGATAGGGGCTGGGTGGCCTTTCGTTAACCCTGTAAAGGGTCATTTTAGCACATACTGGCTCAAAAAAATCAATTTAAAAATGTGAAAAAGTTGCAAAGTATGGCTTTAAGCCAAGGGGATAAGTCAACACTACTTTATGTTTTATGTAACAGCCTGTGGCTTTTTTTCCCCTCCATCATCCGAGCTAACGTCAGAACTCAGAACGGCTGACCTAAAAGTGGTGTTCCACAGAAATGTTAGGAACAAGAAAGATTTATCGTTGACAAGATTAAAATCCAGATTAAAATGCGCAAATAGAAGATTCAGCACCAGCGGGATGATAACGCTGATAATATCTTTTAAAATGTAAATTTAAACCATTCTATAATTTTGAGTTACATTTCCACAACTCGCAAATCCGCCATAATCTCGTCCCAAATCTCAGCTCACACCTCCGAGTGAAGTGATGCAATCTGGTTCCTCAATCCGACACGAGACCAAAAGAACAGCTCAATTTCCTCTCCAAGATGAATTCGTCATGCTCCTCTAAGGTCCAGTAAATTTGCTTGGTGTGTCGAGCCGGCTCTTGGCTCCCCATCACTGAGAAACCGTGGCAAAAAAAAAAAAACTGGCACAGATAACGATGGGGTGTTGAGGAGAAATAGTGTTTCAGCAAACAAAATGAGGAAAATTAATTTCTGTTCCAGGCAGCAAAAAAATGAGAAAACACTTCTGTCTTTGCACAGAACCACCTGAAAAATCTACCAAATGTATAGTAAAATGCATCTTTACAGGAACCACCTTAAAAGCTTCTAATCAAGTGTTTCATTACTCCCCCATAATCCACAGATGTATGAGTTTGTGCTGATGATTTAGGCTGTGCTTTACCTCAACATCAAACAGAATGAAGGCATTCAGCCAATGACTCTCCGACTGGGAGCAAAGTTCTCGTGAAGCGCTCATATGTCTCATTTCACACCTGCAGCACATCAGCAACGTCCAAGCGCATGGAGAGCGGGGGGCAAAGACGGCAACAATCCAGGCAGCAAATTGGCTCAAGCTGCTCTTTTTCTACAGATCATGAACCCGTGTTGGAAAAGGATTGGAGCACATTTCAATCACCCCACTTCCCAAAACTAAAATCTTTATGCGCAACAATTCTAGAGTGTTTCGAAGCTACCTAAGACTTAACACACCAGACTTAATGACTTTTTTATCTCGCTGAATGCCAGTTTTGATTAAAAATGACTCAGTTTGTTGTGCTATTTTATTAACTTTGGCATCACGTTTTTCACAAACCCTTTTTTAAGTAAAAGCAGCCATCCAAGCCAGTGACAGATAAAGAATGAGTGGATTATAAATGACATAAAGGATTTTCTGGACCCTTTTATTCTTGAAGGACTTTACTTTTTCTTAGTCCACTATGCTTCCTGTGTTGCAGGGGTCTTCAAATGGGTGGATTCCTCATTTACATGGTTTATTAATTACTTTTTATTATTTATCAATATATTAACTTCAACACATTTAATGAACAATGAACACATGAAAATATAAACGGAGCTTTATTGCTTAAAACAATCTGAGTTATGAGTTCAGGGAGCTGGTGCATTTGCATTCTTATTTTTCTTCTCGGTGATTTGTACATGCACATACATGCACATACACGTGTTTACGTACACATACATGCACATAAATGTACACATACATGCACATACACGTGTTTATGTACACATACATGCACATAAATGTACACATACATGCACATACACGTGTTTTCGTACACATACATGCACATAAATGTACACATACATGCACATAAACGTACACATACATGCACATAAATGTACACATACATGCACATACACGTGTTTTCGTACACATACATGCACATACACGTGTTTACGTACACATACATGCACATAAATGTACACATGCATGCACATACACGTGTTTACGTA